CACGGGAATTCTTGCCTGCTGACCGAGAATGAGACAGGAAGCCCTTTTCCCCCCTTTCTTTCAAGTACCTCCCCGTTTGTGCAAAATGTCTCTTTGCAAAATGGGTGCCTTTCCCACCTTCATGGTGCAAAGCCACACCACACAGAAGGAGCAGCTGATGGATCAGGATGATGAGCTCATCCAGTACTTATACTTTTTGAAAGTTTGCACAGCAAGGATACAAGACGACTGGGCAATTTGCTCACAATTCAGAAATTCTTTCTGGTAAGAAAACTAGTATTATTAAAAAGTCTCACCAATTTGCAACACATGGGGAAAAAACGGATGTTTCTAGTTTTCTACGTGAGAACAAAGGAAGCAAAGATTTAGGTCTCTAGCCTAGGCCAGGTTTCATCCATTTCTTTTCATCTAACTGAAATTATTCCCATATTTACACATCATACAATAAGTGTTCCACGGAATAGACATTTTCTTGCACTGAATTAAGTATGTTTGTGATTGCACAGGATTAAAGTCCCCCAAAAAGTTACATTCCAGCCTCTGCACAGAACTAATATAGAACTCTAGCTTTAGACTGGAATTGAAGTCCTTTTTGAACTCTGTTGAGATCTAGAAGTTCTGGCTTTATACTGTTGTTGAAATTATACATTTAGGACCCTGGAGAAGTTTGAACGAACACAGCATCTTCATTTGCACCTCTTTCTGTTAAAACCAAAGTTTAGATAACAGACAGCTCTCCATAGAAGAGGGAATTCCTTTCAAGCTGCTTGCTATGGCAGGAAATTTTTGCACCTCCAATAGTTTGCCAATTAGCTGGCTTTCTTTTGTGATTGGTTGGTGGGAGATAAACAAGGGCTTTGTTTGCAAGTCAGATTGCTCCGGCACCAAGGTCTGCCTGAGTTGCATCTCTGGAGTGCCAGTGGATTTGAGTTGCTAAAAAAGGACTACCTGTAAGAAACGGTGTGGTGGACTACAGACCCCATCACTCTCCTGAAACATAGCTGTTTGAGATGGTGGGAGTTGTAGTCCAACTCCTCCATCGTGAGAAGTCTCACCCAGACATTTAGATGTCCTCTCAGCATGAGGAAATAGCCAGTTTTGGCCCCAAACAAGCAGATCTGTGGATAGCGGAGTTGGACAAACAATTAAACCCAAGTCTTTGGATTTAAACAGAACCATCCCTCTTATTCAGATAACCCATTGACTACATTTCTTTCCTGAACCCTTCCCAGTCATTTTTTGGATTTCTCAGTCCTGAATAATTCCAGAAAATACGTTCATATCGCCAGCTTCTTTTCCTCTTTGGAAGCCCAGGGTCTGTTTCTCTCGTTATTTATTGGAGCACTAAATGGATTAGTTCTGTAATCTATCAAGCCTTTTCATTACATTTTTAAGACTCTGTCGTGTTATGAAGTACAGCGCAGCATCAAAATTAAGCTCGGATTGTGATCACTGCCTATTTCACAGATATCAAAATTACTAGATAAATTCCCTCTCAACTCTGTGTTTTTAATCCCCACGATGACAACGTGGGTCTACGACATAAAATATGCTAAAATACAATAAAATAAGGTAAAATAAAATAAAAGTTTCATCATTTGTTCCTGCCCAGGGAAAGATAGCATTCTGTCTTACAGGATTTCTTTGGGTTTTTACTGAGATCCTTCCAAAATACCTTCTTCTGAAAATAGCAATATTATGAATCAAAGTGGATTGATCCTAGACATTGGTTTGAAGTACCATAACTGAAATAAACTTGTTACTCTTGCACCTGAAGGTCCATTCCTAGTTTTATCCCAGTTATGGATGTGCAAGAATACTATTCTATGTTTTATAAGAATTTACACGTTTGACAGTGTCAGCAGTGTAATGATTTGGTGTTGTGCATCCAGAATATTGGTGGTTGCTAAACAACTAGGAGCAGCAGTGGCTGACATTGAGAGGATAGTGAATTCACTGTCTGAAATTTGCAGGAACTGTCATTAACCCCTTTAATATTCGGACAAAAACCCAGAGCAGATGGACTGTCCCAGGAAATCAGAACCATTAGCCTTTACTGACTGGGAGTCAGAAATCCTTTTGGAGTTGCTTTGGATCTACTTCCTAGCAATTCCCCAGAAGGCCTTAATCCCTCTTCTGCCTGTACCTACTGTATATCTATTAGACCATTGAGGTCAGTGGAATTTACACACGTGTTGATTTACCAATACTCCATGGGCATAGCATGAGCTGGGACCAACAGCTGGAGTGAAAAAAGGCATTAAAATGTCTTATTAAGTTGGAAATAATAATAACAGCCAAGCAAAGTCTGTGTATTTGGGATAATTTCAGTAGTAGATTTTAGAATATCTTTATAGAAATCTTTGGCTGCAGAGGCAGAGGATGGAGGTTGAGTTCCCCAATATGTCTCCTATTAGGGGCTGGACCTGTTTGGCCACATTGTCCCTCCCAGCTTTGCTGATTGATGGTGATTATTCAAGCACAGCAACAATGATGATTTAAGAATATAAAAATGTTGCTCCTTGTCTCTAATATGTACAAGGAAAACATAGAAGGCCAGCATCCTTTGGAGATGGTGAAGCCCAAAAGGGAAATGTCAGAAGAAGCTATGGCTTCTTGATGAGGTGGTCTGGTCACATAAGGTTTCTGTCCTTTCTGTTCAATGTGCAGGAATCCCCAAAACTTTCCAAGTTCCCAAGGTTTTCAGAATGGGTGTGTGGATGTTTGCGTGACAGCATAACAACCAAGAAACCTGTCTGATTCAAATGACAACGGAAGCAAAATAATTAAAATCCAATTGTATTAAGTGGGATTATTATCTTATTTTACCTTAAGTGGAATTCTCTCTATGTGTGTGCGTTTGGATGTGTGAATGGTGTCTATTTTATTTATCCTAAATCCATCACCATGTCCTGTCTGCAAATATCAGCCACTGAACACCTGTTTCCTGCCCTCTGCTATAGTTTCAGAAAGGGCTGGAGTGAAGACAAGCAGTTTCCACACTCCCTCTGGGTTACTACCATTAATGTATTTAATATATTACAGACGGGCCTCGTTTGGAATGGAGTGGCTCCATATTTCTTCCATTCTTCCAGCCTGTGCCCTCTCCACATTCATGACCCAGAATATTTCCATGAAAGTTATTTAATATATTACAGATGGGCCTCGTTTGGAATGGAGTGGCTCCAGATTTCTTCCATTCTTCCAGCCTGTGCCCCCTTCCCCATTCATGACCCAGAATATTTCCATGAAAGCTATACTGCTTGGCTGCAATAATATTAATAATAATAACAATAATGCGCCATCAAATCAATTCCGACTTATAACACTTTTCAGAGTTTTCCAGGTAGAGAATACTCAGAAGTGGTGTGCAATACAGGGGCAAATTAGTTATGGGGTGTAGTGTTTTTTGAGACTACATTTCCCAGAAGCCTTCACCACTAGTTGTGCTGGCTGGGGTGTCTGGGAGTTGCAGTCCAGGAACATCTGGTTTACTCAAGGTTGGGAACCACTGGGCTACAACACTGGTTTGGGATTCAAGAAATCTGTTTTCAGACCACCACCACCACCCCTCACCCCGGTCATGGAGCTCACTGGCTGACCTTCAACCGGTCACATTGACCCTACCTCACAAGGTGGTTGTGATGATTTAGCACCGCGGTCATGGAGCTCACTGGCTGACCTTCAGCCGATCACATTGACACTACCTCACAAGGTGGTTGTGATGATTTAGTGAGGAGCAAGAAGGCAGATACAGAGGAATATAATGCAATAGCTCCCGTCAGGATCTGGGCCACACCACCCTGGCGGCTGCAGGATCAGGGCCAGCCTGACCCAGGAAGAGCCTGGTGTTTGCAGGCTCAGGCCCTGGCCTGGGTAGCAGCTGCTGGGCCACTCATGAGGCTCACCTGGAAAGCTGGAGGGAAGACCAATTTAAGGAGTGGTTCTCTCTCCCCAAATTTGCTTCAGTCACAAAGGCCTTTGGTTGTGGTATGCCTGCCTGCTTTTGCCACTGTTCTCTGTGTCTGAATTCCTGTGTTTCCGTCCCTGCTTGCTTCTGCATCTCTGTGCCTTGTTCTGGCTCCCAGCCCGGAGCTCCCACCTCTACTTAAATCATGGCCAGCTATGTAGTGAGTGTCTTTGGACTTGATGCCCTGCATGGTGGATGGGGCCCATGGGGCCCTTGCCCCTGGGGAGGGGCTGCCTAGGATAGCTTGAACTTTGACAGTTCCTTTAATGCAAACATATATTCCTTTATGGTCAACCCGGCATTCTTTTAATGTAAACATGCATGGTATTGCATTCTTGAGAGCCATCCCCATTTTCTCAGAAATTGGGTGCACCCAGGCAGGGGGTGGAGAAAGTATCTGGGGAAACGGCAGCAGAACCTCAAACTCCTATGCAAGGATGATGCTGTGACAGTGATGATGTCATCAACCCGCAACAGGACTTGGCATACTATGAATGCTGGGTCTAATCTGGAATTCAGATTTTTCTCTTCTTTTCTTTCTTTGGACAGCTAGCCAGTGGAGCTGATTTTTCCCCCCTTAGAGAATGGTTCTCTTTGCTCTTTCTGTGCCCCACACTTCTGTGGGTCCACCATGTCATTCCCCAGAGGGACTCCCCAGTCTCTGTTCCACCACGGAGGAAGCAGTCTTTGCTTGGGGGGGGGGGTCTTTGACAGTCCTGCCTTCCAATCTCTGCCATCCCCACCTCTGCCTTTTCCCCTCCCTCACTGGTTTCTAATTGTCTTGTTTGTTTTGTAATAAGCGATTCCTGCCTGTCTCTGTTCTGGATAGTTTCTCACACCATTAAATGAAGTTCTGCTTTATTGATCCCTGTTTTTCCAATTTGAAGCCCGAAAAGTGATGAAGACATTTTCTGGTTTCCCCTGCCCGCCTGCTGTCTTTCCTTTCCAAACACCATCCCTTCCTCAACTCTGCCACAGTTCATTTAGGTGACCTCTTTCCCGGTCCTTGGGGTAATTGCTTCCACAGTGCCCTCCTCGGCCCTAGAGTCGCCCCGAAGCCCTCCCTCTGCTCTTTTTGGCTTGTTTGCTTTGAATGGCTGGAAGGAGACAAGGTTGAGCTCATCAAGAAGTACCAGCCATGGAGAACTCGCCCCTGGTGAGATCTCTCTAAGGACATCTCAATGTCACTGGTGCGTATGGATTGTGGGAGAACCTGGTGGCAGCGGGTGGGGCCCGAAAAGGCCAAGGAAGGAAGCCAGGTTTGAAGGAGGCCCCGGAAAGAGATGTTTACACGAGCGATTATCTGCCAAATCTTCTCCAGCCGTGGATTTCTTTGCAGTAGGGGTGGGCAACTGGCAGCCTTTGGGCCTCGCACGGCCCAGTTTTGTGTGCCTCTTGGGGCAATTTCAGAAGTCCTTGGCGACAGAGCGCCTGGCCCGCTCCTGGCAGCCTGCTTGGTGGGGAGGAAAAGAGAGAAAAGAGAAGGTCCGGAAGATGGAAAGGAGGAAAAACAGAGGGAGGAAAAAGGGGAGGGAGAGAAAAAATGAATGCGTGTGAGAGAGACAGAAAGAGACAAGAAAAGTGAGAGAAAGGGATGTTAGAAAGAGAGGAGAAGATGGCATTCAGAAGAAGGGCAGAGAGAGAAAGGAAGAGGGGGGAGAGAGATGTGGAAGGACAATCTGAGTATTTCTACTCCCTTCTTTTGGGTCTTTTCTTTCCAGCCAAGCTGACCGATAAATTCCAGTCAGTTTTATTACTCCACTTGTTTTTGCTCTGACAGCCTTCTATTGTTTGTTTTCATTTACTGTTCTCTGAATTTTTGATCTCTGAAAGGGAGTGCTTTATAAATTCAGATAGATAGATAGATAGCCTCCTAAGCAGCCCAGAGAAATGTTCTATATCACAGCGTCCTCCCAGTGGGTTTGGCTGCAACTCACATTGCCAGCATGAGCAATAGCCAGTATCTATGCTGCTGAGGATTGGCTTTACTAAGTAGGCAAAACCAACATGTTCTAGTGAGGAATCTTGCTCTCAACCTCTGTGGAACCAGAGGTTGGGAATTCAATTCCCTAATATGTGCTTCTTGGGAGAAAAAGCCACCCTGAGTGGCCTTGGGCAAGCTGTCGTTCCTGGGCACCCCCGGAAGAAGGGAATGGCAAGCAACATCTGAGTATTCTCTATCTGCAACACCCTGAAAGCGGTTGCCATAAGTCCGAATTGATTTGAGGGCAAATGATTATTATTAATAAGGGTAGAAATAATGGCCAGGAAAAATAGTCAAGGCAAGGAGCAGAGGATGTCAGGAAAACATCATTAGAGAGGGTTTTTTATGTATGCTGATGTGATTTCATAACAGCTTATGCCTTACAATAGGTTTTTTACTTATATAAGCTTAAGATATTTTTCATCAATACAACATACTTGAAAGTTAAACCTTTACAACGTGAAGAATAGGTCGTTCGAATACTTTTTATTCTTCTAAAGAGTTTTGTAACACTTTGAGTTACAATTTATTATTCAATTTTTTTCAGCACCCAATGAACTTTTGTTAGAGAATTTTTAAGTTTTGCTTCAAATAGCTACTGATAGTTTTATTTAGTCCATTACGTGTTCATATTCTTATATCATGGTAGTAGGTTTTGGATATATTTTTAAATATTCATTAGAAACCATACGCTTAGGCTTCTGGTTTTTCCCTGCAGGTTCATAAAGTTCTATAGGGTAGGTTCAGGCGTTGGTTTATTTAACCTGACAAACCCATCTGGAAGCTGAGAAGGGCTCAAGCTGTATCACAGAGGAGGGCATGACGGGCTACTGGGGACCCTGGCGAAGGCCAGTGAATGAGAATACAATGCAACATTTTCTTCCAAGTCTAGCTATATTTGCTTCACTTTTGGTGATGATTCAATCTTCTGTTGCCAGTCAGCTAATTTCCAAAGCATCAGGTGAATGCTTTGTTCCTTTCTTGTTAATACACCCTGTGTGGTGGTGTGAATAGAGTGATGGACTAAGACTCTGGAGAACAGGGTTTGAAACCCCGCTCAGCTGTGGAAGCTTGCTGGAGGAGCAGAATTGGTAAAGCCACTTCTTAAATATCTCACTTTGAAAACCATTTTAGGGTCTTTATAAGTCAAGTGAACACAAGCCATTTACTGACAGTTGATTGATTGATTATCCGTTCTCTTTTTATGATTTAGCAGAGATAGCTAAATTTGGTCCTTTTTGTGTGTGGCATTATTCTTGCTAAAGCAACATCCCTTAATTTTTGTATTTCTTTTATTTTATATATACAGTACATTCACATGCCACCTTTCCAGGTCGAAATCCCAGAAATGGAGAGGGATGGGCTGCAAACATGCAAATAAGGAGAAGAACAAAGGCAGTGGATTGGCTAAGAGGCTGCTGATGTCATACTGGTGCTTGGTTCCACATGGAGAGATACCTTTTCATCCTCTTCTTCCTTGGGACGTTTATCTCTGTGCACGCACATGTGCATGAAGGCTTTGTCTCCAATGGAAATGCAGACTCCTCCCATCTTGGCTTGCTGGCAGTAGTCAAGTCTTTCAGGAGAAGGTGGGCTACTGTGCTTGCTGTCCATCATCATGGATATTTTGACATGGATTGTATTTATTTAGCTTCAGTATGCACAACAAAAGTCATTCCCCACAGGCAGGAAATACATATACTAGGAAAAAAGATTCCATTAATCTATGCAAGCTTCCAAGTTCTACAGAATTCCTCATCCTGTTAGGTGAGGAAGGGTGCTGTACAACATGAAAGCTTGCACAGTTTGATACAATTTTTTTACATCAGCCTTAGAAGTTGCTTGTGGATTTTGTTTTCGCTTTGTCCTCTGGGACCTTGGTGGTCATAATGGCTCATGAGAGAACATAAGCAAAACAGTGTTCATGGCTTGATCTCTGATTTTAAGGATATAGCTGTACTTCCAGAGGACAAGAGGTGTGTCATCTTCATTCTGGGAGGCGGCTTTATTCCCTCTTCATTTAAGATGCAAGACAAATGTACCAATGATCGTATTTCTTCAAAGGAGACAAAGAGCAGCCCAGACACCTTGTAATGACAGAATCTTCCTGTTTGAAAATGCATGATAAACGGGCCGGAGCCTCTTCGAAGCCCACATGTCCTTATTGATATGCATGGGATTTGGGACACAGATCCACGGATGCTCACAGAGGCCCTCGGAACGGTAGGAGGGTGCCCCCTTGCCATTTTTATGGGAGATCTTAGGTTAATGAAATTAAATGCCAAGCTCTTTGTTTAGAAGATGAACCTAAGGTCATCCCTGCCGGGGGTTGGAAAAGAAATCCTTGACTGGAGGGGGCAGATTGCAGAACCATTGATTTAGACCCCCGGTAGACAGCTGAATAGCAAGCATTGAACCATGAAGGTAAATTCTCATATTTCATTGAAAGAAGGTTAGCTGGTGGCTTCTCAGCTTTCTGAGATAATCACTACCAAATTCTACCCTGTTTTCCCCCCCTCTTTGCCTTCCTCCACCACCTCCTTTTGGGGGAAAGTAAAGCAGAAAAGCAAAGGGGAGGGCAAACGCTTTCTCCCTTTTCTGCACTTAAGATGCTTTTACAAACCCTGTTTGAAGCTTCCGGGAAATTGTCAGCTTTCCTCCACTCCGGCAGAACCCCTTTTGTGGGGCCGAGCACACAGCTGGTCGCGCAAGCCAGCTCACAACCAGTGAGAGGCTGTGGGCGTGCAAAAGGGAGTGTGGGGAACACTTACACAAGCATCCTTCCATGACTATGCATGGAACCAGATACTGGCTAACAGTGACTGTGTCTGACTTGTAATCCACAGAAGTTCACATGGGAAGTTGAGCCTGAAATAAATCCCGTAGTCTCAAAGAGACCACAATATTTTTGCATCCATGTTTTCTTTTGTGCTGAAAGAGATTGTGAAAGTTAGCTCTGTGTCACCAGAAGGAAAGAGACCAGGGAACAGCCATAGTCTGTGCACTGATCATAGACTCCTCGCAGTCATACCAAAGTACCCTACAGTACATGTAGTTCCCTAGACTAGATTCGGGGTAGAAGGCTGACCTGGACTGGATAGGCTTATTCTGTCTTCATGCCTCAAAAACATCCTCTCTCCCAGTTGATCCAGGAATTCCACTTAATTTCCAGTACTGTGTGTATAGGCTCATTATGAAACTGCATGGACAGTTTTTCTTGGATTGTACTAGCTGAGGATGGAGGGGCTTCCTTTTTTGAAACCCTCTCCCATGAACCAAAACTGCCCGAATGCAGAAAACTAGCTTCTCAGGGAGATTAGCTGACCTAGCCGATTTCTCTGGGCGTGGTGTTCTTCTGTTCACCGACAATATGTAGATTCACGCCTTGAAACCTGTCTTGGTAGCAGTGCTGGCACACAAGCTCTTGTGAAATTATGAACTAGCTTTTAAAAATTCCTGTCCCCTCCCTGGTCACCTCATCCCTGCAGTTTGTATTGGCTAACATACAAATGCTGACCCGTTGAACCTCAGCAGAGAAAATTAAGCCCTCTTAACTATCAATTGATTATAAAACCATAATAATTGACGTTTAACAGCCCCATTAATGGCAAGAGGTTCATCGCTTAGCTGTTAAAAGTCCTGGCACATATATTTAAAATAATCAATTAGTATTTATTTAATATACAATAATGTCTCTGTTACATCTCAATTAAAGGCCCGTTAGGAGGTCATGTGGCAGAAAGGGGAAACATAAGCCTTAGATCCATTTCTTGCTATCTTTGGTGGAAAGGTGGGCATTCCCTGGCTGCCTTAATTTCTGAATTTGAAGAGTTAAGAGAAAAGGGGAGAGGTCAAGAATCTATTGATCAGCTGATTTCTTCAACTCTACTTTTAATTTCAAAAGTTACAGCATCTTCTGGCAAATTTTTTAAAACAGATTTTTGCTGAGAATTCAGTTGAGCTCAAACTACTTTGTTTTGTCTTCTTTTTCTCATATCTAATCTATATATAAGTGCATTAGGAAGCAGCAGCCAACACTGCCCAGAGAAACACACATAAACAACAATGAATAGCTGTGGATGTTTGCTAGACAATGGTACGTGTGAACACAGTGCAAGTACAGCACTGAAGCAGAAAAGTAGTTTAGCGCTACACCGTTAACAGTCAGGATGTGGCTCCCTGTAAATGTCATGATCTCCTATCACCAAATGACAGAAAAACAGGACCAGGAGGTATAAATGCTGTGTCTGAAAGAACCCTTAATTAATTTCTCCCTTCCAATGAGGGAGAGCCAATGTGTCATATTGGTTAAATGTTGGACTGAGGCTTGGATAATGCAGATTGTATTCCCTTGTAAATTTCTCAAATTCTATGAGTTTGGGCCAGCCATTCTGTCTCTCAGCCTGAAATGAGCTGTCACTGCTGACCAGAGGTCTAGAATTACTGTTTTCTGACACCTCTCCAAATCTAGAGTCAGCAGCTACACTCCTTCCTGCCTTTGATCTCCACTGATGGTTGACCACCAGACAATCAAGGTGTCAGCCGGAGAGTCCAATTTTGTGGGGGCAATAAATCCACTCCATGTTTTAGTCTCAGCTTTTTACAGGTGCTCTCCAAGGCAAGGCACTTACTGTATATTGGGGATTGGATTCAGTACCATAGAGTGTGCCTGCAACTGCAGACTATAGACAACCTGTCACTAAAAGAGGGGGAATTTCCTAAGAACTGAATGTGTGTGATTGTCACAGCAGGTCATTTTCCTTTCTCATAATTTGACAGTTAGCATCCTCTGTTTCACGACTGTTCGTGACAGAAGCCTTTCTTTGCAAACCTAATCTCTTGGCCACAACGTATTGCTTTAATCACATGTGTTTTTAGATCTGATATGATTTCCACTTTAATGATGGGTGATCTGTAATGTACAGTTGGACCCATTGTAGTTTTGTGTGTGTCCCTGCATCTAGGGACACACATGACACCCTTGCCTCCTCTTGGATAGCAGTCCTGACCGTTGGGTGATGTTCCAGACCTGATCTGACAAGGCTGGTTGTATATTTACAGTTGGCCAGAGCGAAGGCTTCATCAATCTTCTGACTTTGAAAGGGGACAGGCCTGTTCCCATGAGCACTTGCTCTAGGAGAACGGCTGAACTGTGGCTTTCCAGCCAACCGGTTGTAAATTTCCACCATTTCAACAGGGCACCCCGCCCCCGCTCCTCCTATTCTACCTAAAACAGGAGAGGGGTTATTGTGTGTGTGTGTGTTTTTTTTTTTTAAACCTTTTCCTGGTTGGCAGGAATCTTGGCCATCAGCACAATGTATGGGGAATTAGGTGCCTTTTAATTAACCTTTTATTTCCCAAGGCAGGTGATGTACAGATTTTTAATGCTGAAAGTCCAGGGAGCTGGGAAGTGGAGATCAGCCATTCTCCCTCTCTTTCCCATCAGATGGCCAGGTATTTCCACCAAAACTAGATCACAGCTTGAAAGTGTTTCTTGTGTAGGTGGCAGTTCCCAGAATAGCCCAGCCAGAATGGTTGTGGATATGCCTGTCTGGAAAATTCTGGAATCTGTACTGTGGAAAAGCAATATTTCCATGTTTTGAGATGCAAAGCACCTGTCCTTTCTGTTTAAAGTTAACGAGACTTGTAAATGAAACCCATGTTTACTATCCGCTGAGCAGTCACAAAATAAAGGCAAGTTAAAATTGCATCCTGTGAAATAAAGCAAGCTCATGCTAGAATAAACATGTCTTTTTCTTTGTCTTAATGCAACTCCACATCTAATGACGTGCTGATGGTCCTGTCCAGTCTAGGCCTAAATGAGCATATCTAAGCCAAATTTGAACCCAGGATCCGGCTGTGTCTGACTCTCCATCCATTCCATTTTCCTATACTCTTACAGTTCTGCATTTATAACAAGACCCAGTTCCCAAGCACTGGCTTTTGCTGAGGTTTATCATCAAAAAGAAAAGTGAGTTTTAAACTCCACTTAAAATAATAAAATCTGTCTTTGCTGAAAAATTTCAGGGGAAAAAATATATGTAAGAACAGGAATAATAGCTTCTGTAATTTAATAGGTGCTCAGTTTTGGCTAAGAGTGCCAGCAAATCCATTTCCACAAAATGATATTTTATCTGCTCTTTTAAAAAAATGATCATTTTCACAAGCGCCTCTCCCTTTTTTTATGGGTTCCCACATCCTGCTGAGCATCAGAAATGGGGTTCTAATACACCCGATCAGAGAAAATCTATGGGAGGATAACAAGGGACACCCATTAATAACAGTGGAGGGAGTGATCGTAGAGAACTAGCATGACAGATAAATGGGTTTCACTTTCAGAGTAGCTGGCATCCACTCTTGACTTTGCTTGACCATGCCTTCTTGAAATGTGCTTTTTCATGGGTGGGGTCAGCACCTTTAAATAGGCAAAGCTAAGATGATATCAGAAGAACTATGTCTACACTGCCTTTTGAAGGACAAACTAGAGAGGAAAAGAGAAGGGAGTGGTTAGAAAAAGGCATACAACATTCTTTCAAATTTCCCACGGGAGTTGTGATGATCTGAATGATGTGTTTCAAAGGATGAAGGCTGGCACTCCATGAGACAAAGTGAAACAACAGGACTGGGTGTCTGATGATGGCTGGTCAGCTTTGAATATCATCCTGGTGGCAGATGAAGCATCTGCTGTCAAAGGACCAAGCTAGCTAAGTATGAAGGGGCGCATAATCAGAACAGTGGCTGGCAGGGTAATAAAATGGCCGCTGCAGCTATGATTAAAAGGACCGTGTCCCGGCACTGGTGTAAAGTGAAGTGGTTCAGCTTCCAATAGAGTCCAGGTGGAGGCTGGTGAGTCCAGTTCTGTGGGGCAGGAAATCCACTCCAGGTTTTCCTCCACACTTCATGGGAATCATCTCAAGTGCTGAGTGCCATCCTCCAAAGAGGTTCAACATCTCACATGGGTCCTTTGAAGACTGGGTTAAAATCCTGCATAGGTCCTAAACCCTTTAGGGCTTTTAATGTTATCATCATAACCTTGAAGTTGATGTGGAAATGAACTGTTAACCAATGAAGGCCAGCCAGAGTGGGAGAGATGTGGAAGCCTATGGAAAAATCTCATAGCCAAAGGTCAAGGGTAAAGAAAGGGCCAGAAAATCGGTGGTTTTTTTTTTTAATTTTAGAGGAATAAAAAGACTTCAGTGGCTTGGAAGACATGGGGGTCTTGTGAATCATCCTTATAGCAAGAAAATAATTAAAAGTTATGGTTTTTAATTAAGAGAGGGGTGAGAGGGAACGATGCATAGATGAAGGACCATGCCAAGAAAGGAAGACGAAAAAGTCAAGACGGAAGAAAACCGCAAGGAGATTGCTGAAATAAAAATGACTGGAGCTGGCAAAAAGGTATAATTTACATGAAAGAATAAAGCTATCCCATGAAAAAGGGAAGAAAAAAACTGCAAGCAAGGAAGGAATGGGATCAACTATAGATAGTGGTCATGAGAAAGGCAGAATGTCTGTCTGTCTGTCTCCTTCCTTGTTGACCTAGGTTGTCTCAACTTGGCAAAATAAGAAGAGAATTTTCAAGAAATGATATTCCTTCCCTCCAGATGAGAACAAGACATGGAATGTTAATTTTCCCCCTGTCTAAGATTTGCCATTTATGCAAATGGTAATGTGCACAAGCTGGCCATAACGCAGCCCTGTAAACTATGCCTAATAAGTCCTCATTTGATTCCAAGGCTCACTTGTCTCATCTGCAATCAGATTCATTGCACATGAGTTGGGTGAGCTCCAGGGTCTAAGGAGGAACTTTTTAACAGCAAACTCCCCCTGTTGTTAATGTCCATTTACTTAGCCATGATTTGTGGTGAACTATTTTTGTCCTATTTTATTTATTTATGGCATTTGTATACTGCCCGACTTAGTGGAAGCCCACTACTCTATTTCCTCTTTCAGCCAGCTCCTTTTTCTCTTTCATCCCCACATCTCAATCTCTTTCTCTGCCCCCGTAACAAATTTCCTCCCTCTGTCCTTCAGTTCTGCTTCCCTCTATTTCTGCTACCACATTTCTCTTGTTCTCGCTCTCTGCCAGCCCCTTCTCTGCCTGCCTGCCTGCCTGTTCCTTGTACAAAAACACCTCTACAGCTCTCGCTCTTCACAGAGCAAGGCTGCTGGGACAGGAAAAAAACCACACAGATTTTGTCCAAGATCTGAACTGGCTAAATGAAGAAAGCAAATGCAATCAGGAGAATCTATACTTCTAAAAAGTCATTCTTTAGTCTATGTCTATAGGAAAAACAAAGAGAACTACAGTCATTTAGAAAGTGTAATGTTTTGTCTTCTCATCCTGCTTTGTTCTGGACTAGATTTTAAAACAGACCTCCTTTTGTATCACGTGTTTCCCATATAAAGGCTCTGCCTGTTTACTCAGAGGGACCTACCACTGTGTCCTGTTTTTTACCCCCAGTAACTTCCTTTGGGTTTGTAGCTTTAAAATATTCAACCTCTGGAAACTCTGGGATGTAGCTCACTAGACAGGCTAAAATTTTGGTCGTAGGTCTGTCTACATGGCTGGGTGAGGTGAGTATGTATGTGGAGGATCAGTCTCAAAAATTTCATTTCTGGCATAAAACCACAGTTTTCTTCTGTCTGCCACTAGAGGCTGCTGCATACCTCATTAATGAGATAGATAAACAACCTGCCCAATTAATAAAAGAGTCTAGAGGAAGCACTGATTCGGCTGATGTTCACATCGTAGCACAAAACGGCGGTATATTCAGTTGGGCGATCCATTCGTCAAGCTGGGTCGGGCTGTTTCTACTTGTAGGGCAATCCGGTCTACCTCTGTGATTGCTCTGTTACCTTAGGCTTCCCAGTCTTGGTAGAGTTTAACTCCCAGAAATGTGAGGCTAATGACCAGGGATCGTGGGAGTTGTAGTGCATTAACATCTGGGGACCCAAGGTTGGGAACTACGGATCTACTTCTTCCATTGTGCACTACCATCTCTTTCCTAGAAGCCTCTGTAGATCAACCAGATCAGATCAGTTGGGAATTACACTTCCAGGGGCTTTCCCATTGGTTTCCTCTGTGTTCTTTCAGAAGAGGAGATGCCGAGGATCGAAGCCATGCCCTTTTGCATGTAAAGCAGGTGCTCTGCCTCTAAGCCATGACCCCCTTGCTGTGTATGAAGGGTGAGGGATTCAGGTCATGATTCAACATCTGTTTCAAAAAAATTCTCAGAGGCTGACTTCCAGTCCAAGAGTAAATGGATGGTGTCGAAAATAACTGGCCTAGTTTCACTTAAGGCTCTTGGGGCCATTGATCAAGCCTTGGTAGAGGCATTTCAACTTTTTAGAATAGTGGAAACTGTGTAATATCTGGGGAAACACCAAGTGGGGTAAGGATATGGACCTCCGGAGAAGCCCCAGAGGTCCACTTTAGGACACCAGGAGAATTTGGTGGATTGGAACCCACATGCTTGCTCCATGCAGCCATGGACTTCATTCCAATCAGTTGGCAATGCCACCCATGGCCGCCGGAGGCTGCCCATTTCTGCCACCATCTTCTCTGTGTGGCCATGTGCATTTCAGTCAACCTAAGTGATCTCTCCAGGGCACTCAAGAGGCAGGACCTCTGAAGCTGATCTCAAAACAGGGAGACTGACAGAGGCCCTTTAGAGAACATTATTCCAAACCCATAGCTTGGGAGGTTCCTCTGTTTGGATTGCGCCACTCCCCAAATCCCCCAGCCAGCAAAGGGAATGGCCATGGTGGAATCTGGGAGTTATAGGGGAGAGGACCTTTCCCAAGCACTACCCACACTATTCAGGTTCCCATTTAGCTTGGCTTCTTTTCCAAAGGGAAAGGAGCTAGTTAGCCCACTAGTGATATTTATGAGTGATCCATTTGTACAATTAATGGGGGCTTCTGCATAGGAGGCAAAATATTTCAGATATCTCTTTGGACCCACAAGGGTGGCTCTGTTGAATCCCAATCAAAGGGAAAAGGTTTTCTGTGAACTGCTCAGATTCCTTCTTTTCTGCCCTGCCTGTGATTCTCCATTGCTCAACCAGCCGAGTGGAAATTGAATCTGTCTCACCTTTTTTTTTAAAATGGTAAAAATAGCGACAGTCATGCCAACAGCCGCTCATCTCGAGTCGTTCCTCGTGGTTTGGCCCAATTCAACGCTATCGGGAAGTGTCAGGGCCTC